GTCTCGGATTCATTCAGCCCCTGCTTTCTGATCGGGGAGCAGCGATCCTCCAGAGTCCGGCAGTGGGTGATGGGAATGGACTTCTATGAAACGCCTTCTCCAAGCATGAAGTTGCATCAGTCACTGTGGACTCCGAAATGTCAGGGACACAAATGACCTTCCAGGGGCTGACAGCTTCACTTTTTCAGGAGGGAGAAGTCAGGGACCCCAAAAAGGAAAGGAAGAGTGCAGAGAGCCCAAGGGGGCTGGGGACAGGTGCCGGGGCAGGCCCAGGTGTTCCCACAGCCTGGCTGGCTGAAGGTCCCTGGGGTGCTGCTGGCGTGCCTCTGGGCTGAGTGTGCCTCACTTGTCTGGTGGAGCAGCGGCAGGGCTCAGCCCTCAGCTTGGAGCTGGGGGGCTGTTAAAGTGTTACCGTGGGTGGTCCAAGCAGCCTGCTATCTGCTTGGGAACATTCCTGCTCCTTTATTTCCGGGTCAACCAGCTCACTTGGTATGTGCGAGCTGACCAGGACGAGGCCTGAGAGGGCCTTTTTTCCCACCCACCCAGCCCTCTGGGAAACGCAGGCTCACGGTGGATTCCTTCTTGAGGCTGCAGGGACAGGGTCGGGCGCCGATCGGGTCTCTTGCAGTAGCAGAGGTGACAGAGGCCGGGCCTGGTCTCCTCCCCACACCTCCTCACACATCCCCAAAAGCTCCCAGTGCTGCTACGTTTTTCAAAATATTTATTCGTTTAAACAGATTTATTTATTTTTATTGCAAACCCAGATATACAGAGAGGAGGAGAGACAGAGAGGAAGATCTTCTATCTGATACTTCACTCCCCAAGTGACCATAGTGGTTGCAGCTGTGCTGATCCGAAGCCAGGACTCTATTCCGGGTTTCTCACATGAGTGCAGGGTCTCAAGGTTTTGGGCTGTCTTCAACTGCTTTCCTAGGCCACAAGCAGGGAGCTGGAATGGGAAGTGGGGCTTCCAGGATTAGAACTGGCATATGGGATCTTGCAAGGTAAGGAATTAAGCCACTGGGCTACCGCGCCACACCCCTCTGCAACTTTTCTATTTGTGTGGCCTTAGTCTCTGTGAGCCTCGGTTCCCCTATCTGTTAAACAGGAGAGTAAAATACCAACTAAGGCTGATAAAGATGGGTAGCCTGTCTCATGCATTCACTTCCTGGGCCCCAGGCAGTGTGCTTGCCTCTCACCGCCCACCATCCCGTGTGCTCTGACGGTGAACTTCATGGTACTAAAGACCCCTGCCATCAGTGGGTGAGTGCGAGATGACCCATGCGGAGCCTGAGCACCACGCTCCACGAGTGGGGGAGCCAAGGCAGCTTCCTCGGGGGGACCTTTATTTATGGAGACAGAACTGTTTTTTTTTCCCCTTCCCCACTGCTGCGTTCCCCCTGGCAGCCTAGTACCTGCCTACCATTCATGCCTCCATCAGTCATGTCCGGAGCGGGTGATGTGGCTACCAGGATGGCGTGGCCAGGCCCCACCCTCAAGCGGCCTTGTGACAGCTGCTCAGCCTGACCTGAGGAGGAATCCAGGTAAACACAGGTTTCCAGTTTCTCTGGCCTCCAGCCAGAGCTGAAAGGCGGGGACTGCATCAGGCACTGGTACTGTGTACAGACTGCGGTTGCTACGGCAACCTCCTGTGCTGAGGACACAGCCCTTCCAAGGGGTGGGGCTCCCGCCTCTCACCACCAGGTACCAGGGCCTTTTTCTTAAACATTGTTTTCTTGTGGTAAATACTTAACTGTGAGACCTATTCTGTGAGCCAACATTGAACATTGCCTGGTGTGATGGCCTAGTGGCAAAATTCTCATTTTGCATGTATCAGGATCCCATATGGGTTTGTGTCCCAGCTGCTCCGCTTACCATCCAGCTCCCTGCTTGTGGCCTGGGAAAGCAATCAAGGATGGCCTTGGGACCCTGCACCTGCGTGGGAGACCCAGAAGAGGCTCCTGGCTCCTGACTTTGGATCAGCTCAACTCCAGTAGTTGTGGCCACTTGGGGAGTGAATCAACAGACAGACGATCTTTCTCTCTGTCTCTCCTTCTCTCTGAATATGTGGCTTTCTAATACAAATAATTTTTTTTTCTTTAAAAAGGAGCAAGTGGTGCCAGAAACTGAAAGCAAAGTGAAAAAAGTCCTTTGCACTTAGAGCTTCCTGGCAGCTCAGGCAAAAAGAAGTAATTAAAGAGGAAGCACGAGCTTCCCAGTTGCAGAAGTGGAAGCAAGCCAGATTGTCCAACCACGAGTATGTTCCCTGTGCTGACCTGTGCTGGGGCGAGCCTGGGAGGCGTTGCGTAAGGCTGCCGGGTAAGGGGTCTGTTTCCCGGAAGGCTGCAGGAGCTGCCTGGGTCTGAGTCCCTCTGGTCCTGCTTTGCAATAACCCCCAAGGGTTAAACAGCTCAGAAAGGTGGGCCAGTTGGAAGCCGGGAACGTGGAGCCAGCAGCTTCTTCTGGGTCTCCCACGTGGGTAGCAGGCCCTTGGGCCATCCTCAGCTGCTTTCCCAGGCACATGAGCAGGAAGCTGGATCACAAGTGGGGCCAGCCCCTATCATCCCATCTCAGAGTCGTTCTGTGAGCAAGTGGCTTTGCCTAGTGACACCTTGTTGCGTTGTCCTCACTTGCTTCCTCTTGTGGGTGGGTTTTGTTTTCCTATCAAGTATTGCGATTTTTGGTCCTCTTTTGTGGAACTGAGAGCTGCTTAGAAGACAGAGTGAAACGCATACTTTGAGAGTTCAGCGCCTATATCCAAGCCACTTCGCTTCCCCGACCCCTGGGAAGTTGACTTGCCTTCACTTGAAGAAAGAACGAATGAGCTGATGGAAGAGATATCTCTTCCTCCCTGTTGTGGGTCAGAGGGACACGAGTATGTCTCTTGGTGACTTGGTGATGGTCACTGCTGTGGCGGGGAGAAGGCTCAGGGAAGCTTAGGTGGACAGTGCCAGAGTGACCCAGGGAGCCGTGGGCCATGTCTTCCTCCGCAGCGGGCCGCGGTGTGTGACTGGGTGGTAGGCCTGGCAGGTTTAGGGCTGTTGTGCTTCGCCTTGAACCGTGTGCCTGGCATAGCTTGACCCACCTGCAAACCCTCTGTTTGACCTGCTCGGGTTACTTGCAGCCCAGCAGGGCTCCTCACTACCTATCACCCCAATATAACTGGGGTCTCCAGAAACAGGCTCAGGTGGTGCCTGACATGTCCAAAGCCACCCCGCTGAGCCAAGGTCCTGAGACTTGGACCTAACTGTGAATGGTACCGAAGCCATGCCTCCTCTGCAGCCTGCTACCAGGAAGCCTCTAGAAGGTCAGCTACAAACTGGAGGCAGAGGCCTAAGACTCAATCTGGCATTGAGGCACAGTGAGTTAAACCACTGCTTGCAATGCTGGCATCCCACATGACGGCCAGTTTGAGTCCTTGCCAAGACTCCACTCCCAACCCAGCTCCCTGCTGATGTGCCTCGGGAGGCAGTGGAAGATGGTCCAAGGACTTGGGCTCCTGCCACCCACGTGGAAGAGCAGGATGGAGTTCCTGGCTCCTGCCTCTGGACTCGGTCTGGCCGTGCCTTTGTGGCCATCTGGGGAATGAACCTGCAGATGGAAGATCCCCTGCCTCCTTCTCCAGTCTGTCCTGTCACCCTGCCTTTCAAATAAATAAATAAAGAGCTCTTCGGAAAAAAAAAAAAAAGGCATTCTGAAGCTACTGTTCTCCCCCAGCCTGGAAAGCTGGCCTGGGCCCAACTGAGTGGTGGCTGAGGGTGGCTGTATGGCATTAGAGAGAATGGGCCTCCCTGGCTGGCCCATGGATGCTAGCTTTGCGAAGTCCCACCCTGAGCTATCCCATAGGGCCTCCCTGGCTGGCAGTGACTCTGGGAGTGTGTTCTGTTGATGATGAGCTGTGCCTATAAGCAGGGAACCCTGAGTGGGCCTGAGAGAGGGGCTGTGCACCTTCTCATCTTTTTATATAAGATTTATTTATTTATTTATTTGAGAGGCAAAGTTACAGAGAGGGAGAGAAAAAAATCTTCCATCCACTGGTTCACTGCCCAAATGGCCATAATGGCCAGAGCTGAGCCAATCCAAAGCCAGGAGCATCATCTGGGTTGCACATGCAGGTGCAGGGTCCCGAGGCTTTGGACCATCCTCCACTGCCTTCCCAGGCCACCAACATGGAGCTATGTGGGTAGTGGAGCAGCCAGGACACGAACCAGTGCCCATATGAGACCCTGGCATTTGCAGATGGAGGATTAGCCAGTTGAGAATTGCTCCAGCCCCACCCCCTCCCATGGCACTTTCTACTCTGTGCCTTCCCTGAGGGGCTGTCTTGGGTTGATCTCCCAGGGCCTGCTACCCAGTCAGAACATAGAAGGTGTATGATGGATGAATGAATGAATGAATGAATGAATGGAGGAGTGAATGAATTAGCGAATTGGGGTGGGAAACCTGTTTTGCAATCAGGATCCTGCTGCTGAACCATCTGTGTGGCTTTGATCAATGCCGTCCTCTTTTCTGTGCCTCAGTTTCCTCCCCTGAGTTGATTCCAGATCCTGACTTTCCGGATTTGCAGGGCTCCCAGCTTGGAGAGGTGGAGGGGCAGGGGACAGGTGCAGGGGCGGTGGGAGGACTTGATCAGCTTGTGCCTGAGGAAATGCATCCCCTGAGGCTCTGGCCAGTGGAGCGCAGGAAACAGGATAGCTGGCAGGTGGGGATTAGGGAGCAGGGCTGGCAGGTGGAGCCCAAGGCTGTCACTGCCACTTGGTTGATGGTTTATCATTTACTGAAGACGGGAGCCCCGGGCGGCTCGCTCTGGGGGATGGGGCCTCCTGCAAGGGTGGGAGCCGCCAACCGGCAGAGGGAGAGTGGACAGACTGGAGTGACCTGGGGAGGAAGGCAGGCCCGGGGTGGGCCCTTGTTGGGGGGGACAGTGGGATGCTGGGTGGTCTCTCGTCTCGAGGGGCACGGCGCCCTGCTCACTGTTGCTTGGCCTGTGTTCTCTGCAGATCATGATTGAGTTCTGTCCCGGGGGAGCCGTGGACGCCATCATGCTGGGTGAGTGTACTTAGCGTTGTGGCTTGGCCAGCATCAGGAGGACCTAGCTGCCGTCCTCTGTCAACCTCCTGTGTGACCGTCCCCAGGGCTCGGGCCTTTCATTCCCCCATGCCAGGAAGCCCATGGCCTCTTCCCACATCTCCAATGATGGGGTCAGAGTTTGAATATTTAGGACACACACTGGAAAGACCAATACTCCCTGTTCCAGAAGCCACGTGACCTTGAACTGTCTTTTGCTCTCGAGCTTTCTCAGTGTTAGATGGATGTGGCACCCTGAGCAGGTGCACATGGGGCACCCAAGGGAGACTTGAAAAGTGGTCCCTGTTGCTTCCATCCGAAGTCTGTTGTCTAAAGGAGCAGCTGACACGAATGGTTTATAAGGAACAAGATGAGACTCACTCGAAAGATCTGATTGTTTGAAAGGCACAGTGACACGCACACATAGAGATCTTCCATCTATTAATTCACTCCCCAAATGGCCACAACAGCCAGCACTGGGCCAGACTGAAGCCAGGAGCCTAAAACTCCTACATGGATGGCAGAACCCCAAACACTGGGGCCATCCTCTGCTGCTTTCCCAGCCACATCAGCCAGAAGTTGGACGGCAACTAGAGTAGCCGCAACTTGGGCCGCTTTGATAAGTGATGCTGGCGTCCCACGTGGTAGCTTAACCTGCTGCACCATCGTGCCCATCCCATGGCTCATGTCTGTGGAACCTGGGCAGAGAGAGAGAGAGCCAGTCAGCAAAAGAGGATGCTCAGGAGCTGGAGTGAGTTGCCAGGCAGGAAGCACACAGTTAGCCAGAGGCTAGGAGGAGGCTGCAGGGATGGGGAGGAGCGGTCCGGGCACCCTGCCCTACAGCCTGGCTTCCCAGGACAAGGCAATGGCACCCTCAGCCTTGGCCGTGTCCTTGCTTTGACTGCTCCCCAGGGACCTGCCAGGGAGCCTTGAGACCTTGCAGGTTCTTGGCCACAGGCTACCATGAGAAACAGCCACAGCTGTGCAGGTTCAATCAGACAGAGGCCTCAGAGTGATGTGTTGGGTGACCAGTCTGGGAGGTGGGCTGCCTGCCATTCAGGGGTCTGTGGTAGCAGCAGAGGGTAACATCCCCAGAATAGTCATTTAGGGCAGAGGTACGAGGATCTCATTCTCGAATCTTCTCCATCCCTCCCACTGCCTCCCACTCTGTCCCCTGTGCCGCCACTCTTGCCATGCTGATCCATCGAGATAATCGGCATCTTCTTCTCCCACCTGGACCGCCCCCCCTCCCCCCCTCCGCTGACCTCCTGCACCGGAGCCCCTGCAAACACCTCCCTCCATTGCCCAGGCTGGGGCTGTCTGCCGGCAGGCCTCAGCCCTGGCTGCCCCATGTGCTTCAGGCCCTGCTCCTGGGCTGTGTCCGCCCAGCCCGGACTCCCAGTCCTTCCCCTCCAGCCATGCTGGGGTCCTCTGCACACGGGCTGTTGCCTTTTTCTACACTATTTTTCCTTCCTTTCATCCGTTATCCTTGGGACAGAGAGACCTGCCGTCCACGGGCTCACTCCCGGATGCTTGCAGTGGCCATGGCGTGGGCCCGGCCAAACGCAAGAGCCTGAAGCTCCATTAAGTCTCCTAAGTGAGTGGCAGGATGCCAACCACTTGAACCATCATGGCTGCCTCCCAGGGGGTCTGCGGTGGCAGGAAGCTGGGGTTGGGAGCTGCAGCAAAGGATTGAACTGATGTGATCCAGCAGCCCCACCTGCCAAGCCATCACCCCCAGCCTTTGCACATGTCCTCCAGCACAGCTCATGTCAGCCTCTTTGCTTCTGCTGACCTTGACCTGCAATGCCCTAGCCCCATTGATTCCCTTCCCAGACATCTGGGGCCCCTTGAGATTCCCCCGGGAGAGAGCGTTCTCACCCATTCTAGTCTTCTGGATATCTGCACCCCCACCCCTGGGGATGGGGCCTTTGAGGAGGTCATGAGGGTGGGACCCATGATGAGGATGGTAGCTTCAGTGTTGCTACGGAACACCTGCCTAGCCCTTGCGAGGGGCTGGCTGAGCAGATGCCACCGCCTTGTCCTGGGAGTCGTCCCCTCCCTGCAGCAGAGAGTGGCTCCAGGGCCCCCGTACCTGCTGACACAGCCATTCCCACCCCTCCATCTGCTTGTGCTGAATCAAGATTCTGGCTTGATGCTCAAGTTACTTTTTAACCTCCCCTGCTCTGTGGGGAGAAGACTCTGGCGGCTACACGGGGTGGAGTGAGGTCCAAATGGGCCGAGTGAACCCGGGACCCGTGCCAGATACTCCCTTGCGAGGGCAGTGGCTGTGTGTTTATCTCCTGTGCATGGCGGAGGCCTGCGGTGGGTGCTGGCTGCCTTACTGACACCTGTGTCTGCTTGCAGAGCTGGACAGACCCCTCACCGAGCCCCAGATCCAGGTCGTGTGCCGGCAGATGCTGGAAGCCCTCAACTTCCTGCATAGCAAGAGGATTATCCACCGTGACCTGAAGGCTGGCAACGTGCTCATGACCCTGGAGGGGGACATCAGGCTAGGTAAGGCGGGGCTGCCGGGGGCAGGGCTGGGAACTTCCCCTCCTACCCCGGGCCATGGGTGGAGTGTTGTCCTTGTATATTCAGTGTGACCTCATGGGGCTCAATCCTGGGACACTCTTCCCCTCCCAGGGAGATGTGGTCCAGTGGGTGCAGGTACTACTGCCCCCTGCTGGGTGGAGGTAGGCCTAGCACAGCCCTGCCTGCCTTGGAGGGCAGCAGGTGCTGGGGTAGAGTATAGAGATGGGTGATCTGGTTCCCCTTCCGGCCTAGGGGCTGTGGGTCCCGAGGATGCATCTGGGGAACTCAGATGATGTTTGGGCTGGCAGGTGGGTGGCCCAGGAAGGCAGGGAGAGCAATCATTTGCAAACACCCACACACACCATCTTCTGAGTCTAGGAAGCACCTGCAGGGGTCATCTCATTTCATCAGCATCCCGGGGGCACCCCAGGGGGAAGGGCTGCACCCATTTTGCAGAGAGGACCCTGAGGCCCAGTGCGGAATGAGATGTTTTGAACCTGCCTTGAGCAAGGGGAGGAGAGGGGAGTCTTCCTGATTCCACAGCAGCCAGGTAGAGGCTGAGTCAGGGAGTTGCCCGGTGAGGGGGAGCCTTATGGGCTCCCGGAAATCCAGAAGACACATGCGTGCCATGAATGCGTCCGATGAAGGAGGCGGAGCAGAGGAGACCTGGGCCAGGACCAGCCTGAGGGCCTGGGGAGAACAGACAAGCAGCACCGGCATGGGGTGGGGCCCAGTGGGTACAGGCTGAGATTGGCACAGGGCGGCCTCATCCTCCCTCCTTGCCTCCCCCACCATGTCGTTAATCTGGAGGGTGCCATCCCATGAGCCGACTCTGGAATCCCAGTCGGAAACTATGGAGGGTGGGGTCAGAGACAGATGGTGTCAGTTTCAAAATGATGTTGGGGTGGGGAGGGCCTGGCACAGTAGCCTAGGGCTGAAGTTCTCTCACTTTGCATGCGCTGGGATCCTGTATGGGTCTTAGTTCGTGTCCTGGTTGGCCCCGCTTCCCATCCAGCTCCCTGCTTGTGGTCTAGGAAAGCAGTTGAGGACGGCCCAATGCCTCAGGACCCTGCACTCTCGTGGGAGACCCAGAGGAGACTCCTGGCTTTTGGCTCCTGGCTTCAGATCAGCTCAGCTCTGGCCATTGCGGCCACTTGGGGAGTAAATCAGAGGATAGAAGATCTTCTTCTGTGTCTCTCCTCTGTGTATATCTGACTTTCCAATAAAAATAAAGTAAATCTTAAAAAAAAAAAGAAGTGACATAGGAGGCAGGCATTTGACCTACATCCTTTGAGTGCCTGTGTTCAAGGCCCGACTCCACTCCTGATTGGTTCTTGCGGCGTGCTCTGAAATTCTTGCTCAAGTGATTTTGATAGTTCACCAGTTATGAATTGCTGCCAATCTCGCCACTCCAAACGATGAGGTTTTTGAAGAATCCACTGATTGACACAGTCCATCGTAGAGTCTCCATTTGCCCAGTATTTCGCTGCCAACATATAGCTGAGGTGGTTGATTGACCTGTTCTGTCCTCTGTCTTTTCATGGTTAGGGTTCTGAGTCCGGCAGTTCGATTGGGGAGATCCCCAAAGAAATTTTGTCTGAGGTGTTCCCAGACCAGATTCTTGTGTGTACTAGCACGTACAGGGCCCAGCACAGTCCATCGCCCTGATCAGTTGGTGGTTGCAATTGCTGGGTTGGTTCTGTTTTCAGCCCTGTCTTCCACTGGAACCAATGGGTGTTGCAGTCCAGCCTGGTTCTGCCCAGCATATACTCGGCCCTCACATAAACCAGTGGGAGCTGCAGCCTAGTTGGAGCGACCCACAATAACCCCTACCAGGCCCACCCCCTACCCTGGTTTGCCAGTATGTGTAGCAGACTAGTCCAGTCTGTCCCACATCCCATTTGGCTCTCGTACATGTCAATGGGTATTGAAGCTTAGAAGATCCATCTAACCAGCTCAACAACCTGATTGGTTCTTGTGAATGTGCGCGCTGGGAGGCAGTGGTGTGGGCTCCAGTCCCTGGCCCTTGGGTCCTGCCAGCTAATCCTGCGGGAGCGCTGAGTTGCATTCCCACTCCCAGCTTCAGCCTGTCCCAGCCCGGGTTGTTGCAAGTGCTTGGGGAGTGAACTATATTCTGAAAGATTTATTTGAAAGGTAGAGTTACAAAGAAAAAGGAGAGAGAGAGAGAGAGAGAGAGAGAGAGATTGGCCATTTGCTGGTTTACTTTCCAAATGACCACAACAACCAGAGCTGGGCTGGTCCAAAGCTGGCAGCCGGAAGCTTCTTCCAGTTCCCTACCATGGGTGCAGAGGCCCAAGCACATGGGTCATCTTCTGCTGCTTGCCTAGGTGCCTTGGTGGGGAGGTGGAATGCAATTGGAGCAGCCAGGACACCAAGCAGCACTCATGGGATGCCAGCCTTGCAGACAAGCGGCTTAATCCATTACGGCATGACGTCATTCTCACAAATCGTGTTTTTAAACATGAAACAGTTACAAAGCTTAAAAAAAAATTATTTGTCATACTCTGTTAAGAAAACTCCCAACACAAATTAAGGAGACAGAAAGAGGGTGAGCGGTTACCCTAGGACCAAGAGTCCTGCTGAAGAACACCCTACTGGACCTGTCCTGACTTGGAAAAATCCTCCTGCCAGCTGGGGCTCAGACCCTGCAGGCTGGCAGCTGCCACCGAGAAGACCTGGGCCACTGGCTGCCTCCTCCCACCCTCCAGGGACCTGCAGCCTCCCACCTGCCCCTGCCCAGCCTGTGCAACCCAGAAGGGCATTGTGTGGCAGCTCTTCTGCGAGGCCCGTGCATTGCCTCTTGATAGAGTGAGAGCCGAATGAGCAGAGCCCAGCATCTGGGCAGTGGGCCCAGATAGGCCAGGTTCAGATCTTGGTTCTGCCACTCACCCTGTAGGCAGTGGTTAGAGCGTCTGTAGACTCAGTTGTCCCATCTGTGCAATGGGCACAGTGGTGGAGCCTCCTCTGAGGGCAGTGGTGCCCAGTGGGAGGGTGAGGATTGCAAGGTCCTGGCCTCGGACACACACTCAGGCTCCTGGACACTCTGCTGCTTCCTTGGGTTACACATCGACCTTGTCTGGAACTGCCGGCTCCCTTGGAGACCCACGGGATAACTGCCCTGAAAAAGTACCCAGTTCTGGGTGGCTGTGCAGCTGGGCTGCGTGGGCAGAGAGAGAACGTGTGAGCATTGCCCTGAGACAGTGGACATTCTTACTGAGTGAGTGCAGACTCTGTGGTCTGAAGATGGACATTCATTATTCATGTAAGACTTTTATGTACTTGAAAGGCACAGTTGCAGAGAGAGAGGGAAACAGAGGGATGGGGTTTCCATCCATTCGATACATTCCCCCAAATCATTGCAATGACCAGGGCTGGACTAAGCCGGAGGCAGGAGCCTGGAACTCCATCGGGGTCTCCCACCGTGGGGGACAGGGTCGAGGCGTTGGGGCCGTCCTCTGCTGTTTCCCCAGGTGCCTTAGCAGGGAGTCGGAATGGAAGTGGAACAACTAGGACGTAAACCAGTGATCTGATCATGGATGTTGGTGTTGCCGGCAAATTTGTAACCCAAAATGGCGAGCCCCTCAATTTAGGGGGAAAAATAGATTTCTTTCCTTGTCATTATTGCTTAAACATTGCAGTTTAATACTGAATGGCCTGGCATGGAGTTTGCATTGCAAACTGTAGCTACGTGATATAAAGCAAGCTAAAGGCTATGTGTAGGTTACATATAAATACAAGAGTACTTCAGAAAGCCCACGGAAAATTTATGTTGGTGCAAAATATTTTTGGAATCCAAGCTTAGGGAGGGTCATTAAAATATTCACGGAGAATGAATGTTCTGGAAAGCTATACCTGACCTCTTTCACTTACTATAGCAGGCTGTTTTTAAATTTTTTAAATTTAACTAGGAGAGGGAAAGGAGTGGGCTGGAGAGCAAGGTCCCTTCCACTGACTGCTCCACTCCTGCCCTCCTCAGGTCACAGCAGGTGGCACTGTGCTGGACCAAAGCTGGGAGCAGCTGACGTCCACTTGGGTCTCCCACACAAGTTGCAGGGACTGGAGATTTACCTGCTGCTTCCCAGAGTCCCTGTTAACAGGAAGCTGGTGGCAGGAGCTGCAGCCGGGAATTGAACCTGCACTGTGACATGGGGGCTGGGCACTTTGGCCGGTGCTTTCCTATTTAGGTCAGATGCCCACCCCTGGTTTGTGTTTTTTTTTTTTTTTTAAGTTGAATAGCATTGACCTGTTTCCTGTGGGTCCCCAAATACTCCTCCGGCTCAGGGTTCCTGCTTCCTCCGCAGGCCTGGGGAAGCCCCATGCTGTGCAGGCAGCATCCTTGTGCTACCCCCTAAAATCACGGGGTGCTGCGGACACCTGCTGCCCCTCTGAGCCACTTTCCCTTTCTCCTCGTCTCAGAGGAAGCCCCCGCCCCCCCAGGTGTGTGTGATGCCAGGCTCGGCTCCTCGCTGCCGCACACGGGCCCTGCCCATGATGTGCCCCTGACACTCCCCCCAGCCAAGTGTCAAGTTCTCTTTCACCACATCCTGGGCAAAACAAAAAGCCACAAAAACCCCAGGGCCTTTGCTCCGTGTATTTCCATTTTTAAGACCTAACAGCAACAGGCTCTATCAAAGACATTTAGTAGTGATTGTGTTTAAAGATGTATCTGTTTATTTGCTGAGCCATTCCCCAGATGGCCCCAATGGCCAGGGCTGGGCCAGGCTGAAGCCAGGAGCCAGGAGCTTCTTTCAGGCCTGCTCCATGTGTAGCAGGGGCCAAGCCACCCTTGAGCTGCTTTCTCAAATGCAAGCAGAATTGCTTCCTATAAGTTGTTGAATGTTTTCCAGCCTGGTAGATCATGCCTAACAGGAACTGTGGGAAGCAAATTGTGGAAGGCCCTGTAGGATCCGGGAGGCTTTGGGTTGCTCAGTCAGTGACTGCGCATGCTCCTTAGACTGCTTCCTGCTGCAGATACGGTGCCAGCACCAGTGCTGGTGGTCTTTAGTTTCCCACCTTGGCTGCCTCAGTAGCTGGCACCACTGTAGGGATATTGGCCCCTGTCACTGGCCAGAGTTCCCCAACACAGCCTGGGGTACCGCCCCTCCCAGGAGGGGAGCCTCAGTTTGCTGGCTGCCTCTGCTCGGGGCTGGGCTCCTACAGCACCGATGACCCCCTACCTTGGGGCAGCTGCCCTGAGCCAGGCTTGGAGCTGGGACAGCTATGCCAAATGTCCCAGTATTACGGATGGTGGGGGTGAATGACTGCCCTGGCCTGTCCTCCCTTTCAGGAAAGATCCTCCCTCACCCCCAGGGCTGGAGGACGAGGAGAGGCTGCTTCAAGGTCACCCCTGCACCTGCAAAAGCGGAGGATGCTCTGCTAGCTCCTGCCTAGGGCCCTCAGGTGCACCCGCCCCCTCCTGTGGCCAGGGGTCACTTTCCAGGACACACCTTGGTATTGATCCGATGACTCTTGGTCTCCCCGCCTATGCCCAGAGAGGTGCAGGTGCGTGAGCTGGGTCCTTCCCTGCATTATCTGCTCAGCCTTGGGCTGGCCTCCCAGGGGCGCCCAGGGAGCACCTGTAGCAGGGGGTGACCCTGTGGGGAGAGAACTGAGATAGGAACAATTTGTATCCCAGCTGCTCCATTTATCATCCAGCTCCCTGCTTGTGGCCTGGAAAAACAGTGGAGGACGGCCCAAAGCCTCGGGACCCTGCACCCACATGGGAGACCTGGAAGAAGCTCCTGGCTCCTGGCTTCGGATCGGTGCAGCTCCAGTCTTTGCGCTCACTTGGGGAGTGAACCAGCCAGTGGACAATCTCTTTGCCTTTCCTTCTTTCTGTAAATCAAGCTTTCCAATAAAAATTAAAGAAAGGAGTTTTAAAGAAAGTTTTAAAATGATAGTTAAGCAATTAGTTGTCTTGTGACTTTTTTTTCCCAGAATGCAGGATTCTTTTCCTTTTCCTTTTTTATTTTTCAAGATTTATCTATTTTTATGGAAGTCAGATATACAGAGAGGAGGAGAGACAGAGAGGAAGATCTTCTGTCCAGTGATTCACTCCTTAAGCAGCAGCATCCGGCCAGAGCTCCGCGTATCCGAATCCAGGAACTTCTTCCAGGTTTCCCACACGGGTGCAGGGTCCCAAAGCTTTGGGCCGTCCTCGACTGCTTTCCCGGGCCACAGGCAGGGAGCTGGATGGGAAGTGGGGGTGCTGGGATTAGAACTGGCGCCCATATGGGATCCCGGCGCGTTCAAGGTAAGGACTTTAGCCACTAGGCTAGCGTGCTGGGCCCAAGTCATAATTTCTTAAAGATATATTTTTATTTGAAAGGCAGCTACAGAGAAAAGGAGAGGCAGAGACAGACGTCTTCATCCACTGGTTCACTCCCCAAATGGCCACAGTGGCTGAGGCTGAGCGGATCTGAAGCCAGGAGCGAGGCAGGAGCCTTGAGCCTCCTCCAGGTCTCACACAAGGGTGCAGGGTCCCCAGGACCTGAGCCACCCTCCACTTCTTTCCCAGGCAGTAAGCAGGGAGCTGGATCAGGAGTGGAGCAGCCGGGATATGAATGACACCCATACAGGATGACAGCGCCACAGGCTGAGGCTTAGCTTACTATCCCACTGCACTGGCCCCAGCAAATACAGAGTGCTTTTTAAATGCACAGGCTTCGTTTGGCACAAATGCTAAAGGTCAACAAGTAAGAATGGGAAAGACCACGTGAAGTGTGCCCGATTGACCGTTTCATTCCTCCCTGTGTTAGCCGCCTCTGATACAGACACTGTAAAGCTGTCCTGTATTTGGGTCAGAGGCACTTGGCTCTCTGCGTTTTCATCAGTCCATCTTGGGGCACCCTTGCTGCTGCAGCTGGGGTGTCCGGCCCCGGCCCGCTGAAGGGACACGGCAGGAATGTGCCTCACTCAGACCCCGTCACAGCCTGCGCCCGGGGCCGTGGGTGGTGGAATGCTCGCCCGTGCGCCAGCTGAGATGTTTATCTTGCAGCTGACTTTGGCGTGTCTGCCAAGAATCTGAAGACTCTGCAGAAGCGAGATTCCTTCATCGGGACGCCTTACTGGTGAGTCACGCCGTTTCTGGAAGCACCGAGCTTCAAGGCACCCGGACGGGCCTTGGGGTGCTGAGGCCGGGGCCCGCGGGACACCTGCTGCCAAGGGGTGAGCCTGCCCTAGCCTGGACCTCACCTTGCTGCTCGCACGTGAGCCCAGCAGCATCCCCAGAAAGCAAGCGGAGCGCGGGATACGGGGAGGAAGCGCTGGACACGTCTCCTTTTTTTGTTTCATCGTACTGATTTTCCGGAGCCTTTGCTGTTTTATTCAGCAAACTAGGAGCTCAGCATCAGTTCCTGGGCTGGAGTGAAGAGTAGTTCAAGTCCTCCCCTCCCGCAGTCCCCTAAGATTTCCCTAGTCTGTCCTGTTCTTTCCTGAAACTTTACAAACAAAGCAGGCTGCCTTGCCGGGTCTCACTGCTGATTGCCTCCTACCACGCTGTGTGTGCTCAGGTTTTTCACGTGCGTTCTGTGTCCTGGTGCAGTTTGGGCTCCTCGCGCGCTCGCTTGCTCCTCCTAACTGTTTCTCTCTCTATCACTTCCTCCCTGTTCGCTCCCACCCGGCTCCTCTGACTTCTCGCCCCCCCTTCCCTCCCTACGCCCCCCGCCCCTTGCCAGGACACGGTGGGCTGGATGGCTGCTGCCATCTTGTGGTGGAAGTCGGCAACTGCGAGCAGGACAGGAAGACCTGAGGAAGATGGGCATCTGCTGCTGGCGACCCCTGACCCTGAGTCTCCGGGCAGCGCTTTTGGAGGCCTGGTTCTGAGCCCTCTGTTGTCCCTTGGTTGATTCAGGATGGCCCCCGAGGTGGTGCTTTGTGAGACCATGAAGGACACCCCGTACGACTACAAAGCCGACATTTGGTCACTCGGCATCACGCTGATTGAGATGGCTCAGATCGAGCCCCCGCACCATGAACTCAACCCCATGCGGGTCCTGCTCAAGATCGCCAAGTCGGACCCTCCCACGCTACTCACGCCCTCTAAATGGTAAGGGACTAGGGCACCTGCAGCAGGCCTGGGGTAGGCAGGTGGAAGGGGGTGGGGATGGGTGGGATGGTGGTGGGAGTTGCTTCAGGGTCCTCCTGAGTTCCCTCAGCCCTGTGTCTTGTCCTCTATGCTGCTTATTTATTTGAAAGGGAGTGAGGCTGGGCCAGGCTGGAGCAAGGAGCTTCTGGGCCTCCCACATGAGTGAGTGGCAGAGGCCCAAGTACTCAAACCGTCTTCCGATGCCTTCTCTGACCTATTAGCAGCGAGCTGCACTGGAAGTAGAACAGCTGGGACTCCAGCTTAACTCGCTGCACCCCACGCCATCCTGCCCTTAGGTCCCTGACAAGGTAGACCAGATGCCCAACACATCCAGTTCCCGCTGGGATAGGTTCTGGGTGCTGTTTGGGGCTGGCAGCTTCCATAGCAGAGCACCTGGACTCAAGTCTCAGCTCCCAGCCTCTGGGATGCAGCCAGGGATGGCTCAAGTATTTGGTCCCAGCCACTCACATGAAAGACCCTGCGTGAGTTCCAGATTTGAGCCCAACCCTGGCTGTTTGGGCCGTTTAGAGAACTACCCAGCAGGTGCAGAATCTCTCCTTCTGTTCCTCTCTGCCCTTCAAATAAAAGAAAAATGCCGACAACAACAAACCAAGAGCAAGCCAGAGACTAGGGTGGAACTGCAGCCTGCGGTAACACGCCGTGTGGCTTCGGCGAGTCTCCGTGTCCTGGGGCGGCTGTGACACTGTCACCGCTGCCCTCTGTCCTGCCGGGGGCATGACTGGGCAGCACAGGACTCTTGGGTTGGGGGTGGTTTGTGATGTCCTCGGGGATTTGTGTGGGCTGTCACCTTCTCTGAGCTCACCATGGGTCCTGCCAGGTCCGTGGAGTTCCGGGACTTCCTGAAAGTGGCCCTGGACAAGAACCCGGAGACACGGCCCAGCGCAGCGCAGCTGCTGGAGGTGAGTGGGCTCCGGGCTGCTCACGGCATGATGTGTGGGCCACTTCGTGATCGGTCATCCCCAGGCATCTGTGCGTGCCAGCTCTTTGCTGGCGGGGAGCGCCTGGAGCACAGAGCTGTGCTGCATGAGACACAGGTGGGGGAGCAGGTGGCAAAGGAATAGAGGTGTGGGCGTCTCGGGGGTCCCAGAGGCTGCCTACCTGCACACGGGGCCCAGGAAGGGGCTCTGAGTGAGCAGGAGGGGAGGGGGCGTGACCAGGAAGCCAGGGTGGCAGGTGTGCAAGGATCGGGGGTAGGGGATAGAGAGGAGCCGCAAGAGGTGCTGGGGGTTCCCCAGCCCTGAGCCTGAAAGAACACTTAGGGCTCAGCCTGCTGCCCTGTCCTCGCTAGAGCTAGTGCGACCCAGGGTTACCTTTGCGTGTATGTGGCTGCACGTGCCGGAAGCTGAGAGGAAAGGAGGAAGATACTGCTCTGAGCGTTTGGCTCCTCTATGTTCCTTGGCTTTCCTGGAGCACCTGCTGTGTGCTGGGCACTGAGGCCGGGATGGCCCTGCCTGGGCCACAGGGCATTTCTCTGGACTGTGCAGCTGGGTGGTTCTGAGTGAGTGTGGTAGGGTCCTGGGTTCCAGTCCCAACCCTGCCTGACGGTGAGTACATCTGAGCGGATTCAGTGCCCCCTTGGTACTGGGCGACTTGGTGAGAATTAAATGAGAAGATACTGCAAAGGACTTAGCTCTGCCGGGCAGCACCCTGCTAAGGAATGTTGGAAGGACTGAATTCCTACATTTGCTGCAAATGCGCAGGAACCAAGAGGCAGGGCAAGGTCGGTGCAGTGAGGGGGTGGTGTCCCGCGTGGACTGCTATGCGAGGGGCTTGGGCTACAGAAGCTTCCGTCAGCTGTGAGCAGGCCCCCTCCTCCTGCCCCGGGACATCCGGCCTCCGACATTCCACGGGCCAGGCCAGCTGTCGGCCATCCCCCCTGAGCAGCCTGTTGAACCTCAGCCTGAGCCGGGAATGTCCGTCCCGTGTTTGGATACAGTGCCAAACTCAGCATTCTTAGCGTGCAGCAGCAGGGGCCACAGGACACAGAGGCAAAAACTCGAGGCGAGCACACACCTTTCGGTGCCAGCCTGGTCCATGAGTCTTTTCCTTGCTGAGTTAGGGAGGGTTAGAGTTATCACTCCCTACAAGGGAGGGCGCTAGGGCTCAGCCCCGGGGGCACCTGGCTTGGAGTGGCAGAGGAGGGCTCAGCCCCCTGTGGGGCTGTCTGTGTCCCCACCTTGGTCCTTGCACCTGTGGGTCCTGGAGAGACTTTAAAGATTTACTTATTTAATTGGAAAGTCAGATATACAGAGAGGAAGATCTTCCATCTGATAACTCGCTCCCCCAAGTGGCCACAAAGGCTGGAGCTCCGCAGATCCTAAGTCAGGAGCCAGGAGCTTCCTCTGGGTCTCCCACACATAGGTGCAGGGTCCCAAGACTTTGGGCTGTCCTCAACTGCTTCCCAAGCCACAGGCAGGGAGCTGGGTGGGAAGTGGGGCTGCCGGGATTAGAACCTGTGCCTACATGGGATCCCACCATATGCAAGGCAAGCATTTTAACTGCTAAGCTGCTGCGCCAGAACCCCCCATGCTGTTTTTTGAGGACTTCATTGGCTCGCACACTGTTGAGCCCACATCACTTAGTGCTGAGTAATCCAGGCTCTGGCATCTGCTTTGCTCATCCTTGTGCTGCCTCGGTTTGCCCATCTGGGAGCTGGGCCCACCCCAGACTGAAAACCGGTGGGCGTGTGTGTGTGCTGTTTCAGCCCTCTACTGTCACTGGACACTACTCCTCAGGACCTGCTTGGAGTCCCCCCCCCTTTTTTAATTGATCTATTCTTATGGGCCAAGCATAATGGTTCAATGGCTAAATCCTTGCCTTGCAAGCACTGGAGTTACATATGAGCACCGGTTCGTGTCCTGGCTATTCCACTTCTCATCCAGTTCCCTGCTTGTGGCCGGGAAGGTAGTTGGAGAAGGCCCACCCTGCACCCATGTGGGAGACTTGGAAGAAGCTCCTGACTCCTGCTTCTGATAGACTCAGCTCCGGCCATTGTGGCCATTTGGGGGGTGAACCAGCAGACAGAAGATCTTTCTCTTTGTTGAGTGATGCGTGGCTGTTGATGCCAAAATCCACTGAACCTACTAGTTAAGGAGCTTTGCTCTGAGGTATGCCATGCCTCTGTAGAATATACATGATGTGGATATAGGCATTGTGGCATAATGAGTTAAGCCACCACTTGCAATGCCAGCATCCCATGTTCAAGTGCCAGCCCTCCAATTGTGATCCAACTTCTTGCTAACTCACCTGGGAGGCAGTGGGTGCTGGCCCAAGTACTTGAATCCCCACTTCCCTGTGGGACACAGCCCTAGCTACTGTGGCCACTCGCGGAATCCACGGGAGATCTTTCTCTGTCACTCTGCTTTCCAGATACATAAATCATTTTATTTACTTATTATTTTTATTTGAAAGGCAGAGTGACAGAGCCGGGACAGAGAAGTCTTCCTTCTGCTGGTTCACTCCTCAAATGGCCCCCACGGTTAGAGCTGGGCCAGGCTGAAGCCAGGAGCCAGGAGCTCCACCAGGATCTCTCACGTGGGTGAGCCAAGCACTTGGACTGTCCTCTGCTGCTCTCTCAGGGGCATTAGCAGGGAGCTGGAAAGGGAGGTGGAACAGACAGGACACGCACCAGAGCCCATGTGGGATGTCAGTGTTACAGGTGGTAGCTTAATGTGCTATACCACAACATCAGCCTCCAGGACACACACACACACACACACACACACACACACAGAGTGCACTGTAAAGCCACTTTTACAGCCTTGCAAAAAGAAAAAGAAAACAAAAAAATAGAAACACAAACAACCCCTCTCCTGATACTTCATCTTCGTGGCCTGCCTGTGGGTTCAACACGTCATCACTTCAGGGACCAGGAGGCCGTGGCTCAGAGAGGTTGAGTGACAGGTCCCGGGTCACACAGCTACTGAGGAGCAGGGCTGCGCTGGCTCTCTTCCCTGGCCCTCTTCAGCATCCATTGAGCTGTCCCTGGCTTTGCTTCGCCATGGTCATGTGCACATTTTGCTCAGGGCTGCCGCTGGCCTGCTCTGTCTCTGGAGGACCTGCTCCCCTCCCAGCCCTCCCCCTCCACCCCCGACTCCTCTCCCCTCCCCATCCCAGAGCAGTTCTAACGCAGGTGCCTCTTGCCCCACCAGCACCCCTTCGTCAGCAGCGTCACCAGCAACAAGGCTCTGCGAGAGCTGGTGGCCGAAGCCAAGGCCGAGGTCATGGAGGAGATTGAAGATGGCCGTGAGGAGGCGGAAGAGGACGATGCTGGGGACGCCGGCTCCGTAAGGGCGGCAGGGCTGGGGTCCCAGCGGGCCCGGGTGGAGCGTGGGAGGGAGGCCTCGCTGCCCCTCCTTGGCCAGATGGCCAGGCTCCCACACTGCTGCTTACGTAAGACGCAGGCCTGGGTGAGGCCGTGAGCCTACCCCTTGCAGTGGGCCCTTGGGAGAGGCCGGGCGTCCGGATGTCAGTGTGAAACCTTGCAGCTTTTAGAAGCTGCTAACAGATTCATTCCTCTTGTAGCTCGTGTGCAAAGCAAAACTGTTCTGGCAGCCTCAGGGCTACATGCATGCAGACACCTATGAGCAGGGGCAACGAGCCAGGCAGCAGCGCTGGCCACCTCGGGTGCCATCTCTGTGGCTGTCCTGACTGCTAAGGGCACCCACGTCTTGGCACTTTTGTAGCCCATTTGCAGCTTGAAACAGGAACTAAGCGAGAGTGGTGGGAGCCAGGCATCATCGCCTGTGAGCAGGCTGGATCCTGCCCTGAGCTGCCTGCTGTGTGTGGAGGCCTCTTCCAGCACAGGGTGGAGTGGGGGCATCAGGCAGTCCAGATGGTCCTCTGTGGCCTGGAGTCGGCCCCACATCCTGGCACTGTGGATCCACAGCAATTCGCTCATGTCTAATTCCATCCTGGAGGGGATGCTGAGGCCAGTGGTACACCCTGTCCAGTATGAAGGGGCACGTGGGGTCAGCACAGTCACCTTGGCCATGACGGAGCGTCTGCAGGTGTTAGACTCCAGTAGAGGGGGACCAAGGCTGAACTGAGTCCCAGAGAGATTTGTGGTGGCCTCTTTGGGGCTTTTAAAAATTCTAATCAGTTGCCACCTTAAAAAAAAAAATCAAGAGATGTCAAGTAAGCACCTGGATTGCTAACTTGTCCTGAGACCTGGGTCTGACCCCTAGGGTGGGAGGGGTGGTCTTCCTGCCTTGTCACGGTTGGCTTGAGTGGAGCAGCTGCTGCCCCTTTTCGATGGGCATCTGCCTCTCCAGGTGGCCACAGTGGGCTGTACTCCCAGGAGCACAAGTTACATGGAGCTACAGTTAGAGGTATTCAGGAGTCCAAGAAGTTGTAACAGTCTTCTCGGATAGGCAATAGGGAGTGGTGAAGACTGTGGCTCAGAGACAGGCCCGCTGCTGCCTTGTCCCACTTCGTGCTGCCCCACTGTGCCTCTGACCCCGGCCTTTGATGCCCAGCAGCATGGCTGTGACCCTGTCTCTTCTCTTTCAGACCCTGGGGAACCACACTCAGGATTCTGCTGAACTGAATCGCTTGAGTCTCCATGCCGACCAGGTCACCCAGGCGTCATCCTCCACCCCACAGCCCTCTGAGGATAAACCTGGCCAAGCCACCAGCACTCCAGGGGCTGCCCCCGCCACGGAGAATGGCCTGGTTGTGCCTGTGCCTCTGCGGAAGTCACGGCCGGTTTCGATGGATGCAAGAATTCAGGTGGCAGGGGAGAAGCATGTCACCGACCAGGATGGGGACCTCAGCCCAGTTGCCAATAGGTCCCAAAGGGCAAACCAGAGCCGGCCCAGCAGCAGCGCCCTGGAGACCCTGGGTGGGGAGAAATTGGCCAATGGCAGCCTGGAGCCCCATGCCCAGGCTGTTCCGGGTGCTTCCAAGCGGGACTCGGACTGTGGCAGCCTCTCCACCTCCGACAGCACAGACTATAGCACCTCCTTGTCTGCGGACCTGGCCCTGAACAAAGAGACAGGCTCCCTGTCCATCAAGGTAAGAGGCCCACCCAGGAAGTGGCCAAGAGCAGTCAGAAGCAGGTATGCAGCCAGGGCTGGGAGCAGGAGGTGATGCAGCCAGGGCTGGGTGTGCAGAAGCATTCGGAAGGATTCCTGACACCCACACCTGCTTTAAGGAGTTTCTCATTGGGTTCTGACTGTGACCTGCCGAATCGCTGAGCACTTCATGGGATTGAGCAGCATTCAGCAGCAGGCTTGGGATTGGGGTTTACATTGCCAAGTTTGGTTCAAGCCCTTGGTGAAACTTGGAAAGAGAAATACGTTCTAACGACGGATGCCTTTAAAGGTCAGCCGTGAAACCAGCTCATGGCTGATCAATGCCATGACGAGAAATGGGCTCCGGGCTCCTGTCCCTCCTTGTCAGCATGCTGGAGGTGACAGTGTGGTCAGTGACTGTGGCCACCATGCTTGGGATGCCACAGAGGGGCTGCTTCGTGGTCCCCCTTCACAGATGAGCAAAGAGAGGCTCTAAGAACCCTGGAGCCAGCCCGGGGCCAAGAAGGTGGCATTGGAGAGGTGGTCAGACGAGACTGTACGCTCTGGACCCCACATGGCGTCCTGCCTCCCCTGGCCTTCTGTCTGCTGGGGTTGCCGCCTTTCCCTGTCTGGTCTGATGAACCCCAGGGTGTTCCTGAGCTCCTTAACCACACCTGCCCTCTCCCTTCCTTTCTTCCTCCTTCCTCTCTTTATTGTTTTTTTTTTTTAATCTTTTTTTTTTTAAGTTTGTTTTTATTAGAAAGGCAGGTTTATAGAGATAAGGAGAGAAAGATCTTCCATCTGCTGGTCACTCCCCAAATAACCACAACTGCCAGGGTTGAGCTCATCAGGAGCCAGGAGCCTCTTCTGGGTCTCCCACACAGGTGCAGGGTCCAGGGGTTTGGGCCATCCTCTATTATTTTCCCAGGCCACAAGCCGGGAGCTGGATGGGAAGTGGGGTGGTAGTCAGAACATGACCTGGTGCCCATATGGGATACCACGCTTGGAGGTCACTCCCCTGGTGGCGATGATTCGTGTTGAAGCCTTGTTTTCTATAGCATAGGTGTGTAGTAACTTACATCTTCCTAGAAACTTAAAAAAAAAAAAATCATTCATTTTTATTTTGTTTGGAAGAAAGAGGCAGAGAGAAACCTTGCATTTCCTGGTTCCCATTCTAAATGCCTACAAGAGCCGGGGTGACCAGCAGAAGCCGAGAGCTTGGTAGCGCATCTCCCATGGGGGTGACAGGAACCCAGGTACTTGAGCCGTCAGCGCCTGCTCCCTCCCAGAGAGTGTGCATCAGCAGGAAGCCGGATTGGAAGCGGAAGCAGAGAAGCTGGGACCCGAACCCATGCACGTAACTATGACGCATAGGCGTCTCATGCAGCAACTTAACCACAGTGCTAACGGCCGGCCCTGGTGTTTGATTTTAAAGTTGAGGCTAGTTCACCTAGTGCCACGCCCTGTCCTGGCTGAGAGCAGAAGCTCCGGGCAGCTGGGCTGCTGTGATACGAACTCCCAGCTGTGTGAGATGTCAGTATCCCAACAGTGCAGGGATGAGGGGCCCTGAGCCCAGGAGCGGCTCTCATCTGAGGACTTTGGTCTTGGACTTCCTTTCCTCCCCATTCTGCCACCTCCATCTGTCGCTGCTGCTCCTGCCTGTCCTTGCTTGAGTCCTTTAGCCTGGGAACAGTGTAATTCCTGTGTAGAGTGGGGTGTGACAGCTCACAGGTGCTGTGCTGAGCCTCTGGGCAGAGCTCCAGGTGGAAGCCCACAGGAGAGAGGAGTCCAGCCATCAGGGGGTGAGAACTCTCTGCGGGTCTCTGGCAGAGTGAGAACAGAGCTCAGAGAGGCACTGCGGGCAGCCAGCCAGGCCCCCATGCTCCTGGAAGGTCCCGGGCTTGTGTTGGAGAGGCAGGAAGGACTGAACTACCCCCAGGAGGCAGTGGGTAGAACGGGAGAGGCTGGGAAAGAGCCAGTGTTTGATTCCAGCTTGCATCCAAATCAGAACGGAGCACCTGGTAGTGCCCTGTAAGCATTTGCCCCCGGTCCCTGGGTCAGGCAGCTTGCGGTGGGAGGGCCAGTGGGCAGCCTTGTTCTCCCTGGGTGGGCCTGAGGCTGGAGGAGCCAGGGGGGCTGTGGGCCTCCCCACCCCTGGGCCAGCCGTGGATCTGTAGCTGGAATGTTGACCTTTGCCTTCCTTCCTGGCCAGGACTCCCGGCTGCACAATAAAACCCTGAAGCGAACACGCAGGTTTGTGGTGGATGGCGTGGAGGTGAGCATCACCACATCCAAGATCATCAGTGAGGATGAGAAGAAGGACGAGGAGATGAGATTTCTCAGGCAAGTGTGGGAGGGGCCCTGGCTGGGGAGGGGGACACAGAGAGAGATGGGCGTCCTTTTTATGAGAAGACCTTGTGTCTGCAGTGTGAATGAGAACATCAGGGAAATGAAGGAAACTGGTTTTGTTTGGGATCCTGCACTCTCTCATGCATCCAGCCACCCATTTGCCTGTCCACCCACCTATCTATTCCATTTGGTCACGCATCCATCCATCCATCCATCCATCCATCCATCCATCCATTCGTTCGTTCGTCCTCCAACCTCCAACCATCTATCCATTTGTTCACCTGCCCACGCATCCATCCATCCATCCATACTCACTTCCATTGCTCAGCCCGTCCATGCATTTATCTGCCCAGTTATTCATCTCTTCTCTTCTACCCAACCAGCCAACTGCCCACCCATCCATTTCTCCATCCACCCACTAATTCAACCTCACATTCATTCCATAAACCCATCCAGTCATTTATCTGCTCAGTCATGCATCTGTCCTCTCACTTTTTCACCCACCCACCTGCCCATCTTTCTATCCATGTGTGCGTTCATCCATCCATCCATCCATCCATCCATCCATCCATCCATCCATCCATCCATCCACCTTCCTATGCGTCCATCCACCCAATCACCCACTTCTCTACTCATCCATTTGTCTACTCATCCATTCACTCCCTACGCACCCACAGGTTGGTGGCCCAATTAGATGTGGTGGGGCAATGTAGAATACTAAGATGACATCTGACCGAGGGTACTCTGTGAAGGAAGTCATTGTAAGTGCCTGGGCTGGGGGATGCTACCGCAAGCAGAAGTCCCCGTGGGCCTTACACAGAGCTGGAGCAGCACCTAGGAATGACTGCAGGGCTTGTGTAAGGAACTGAAGGCACAGGGCTGAGGAATGGGGCATGAGGTCAGGGGAAGCAGGTAGGATCCTGCTCACGTAGGCCGGGTGGACCAAAGACCGTGCTGGCACTGGGCTGCCTGCCTTCCTCCCATCATCCTGTTTGGGTTTGCTGCTGCTTGCTCTCCAAGCCGTCGTTTCTGGAGTTGGGATTTCTTTGCCACTCTGGAACAGTGTCCCCTGAAGCAGATACTGAGGCAGAAGCATCATGGAGAGTGGCCCTTGCCAAGCAGCCACTGCCTTGTCTTCCCTATCCGTGGAGCAGGTGCTGTTCCTGGCACGTTGGTTGGGACCTGGCCAAGCACTTGGCATGTGCATTCTCTGCTTAATCTCTCAGTGTCTGAGTGGGAGAGGTGGTTTGCTTCGTTTTACAGGCTACGGAAGAGAGACTCACAAAGAAGGGGTGACACAGCCCCCAAAGGGCACTTGGCAGGGAGGTTATTAGAGCTGAGAGTCAAACAAGGTCTCTGGCGCTGGAAAATATTATTAGCCATGCAAAGCCTATCCTCTTGCAGTGGTTGGTGGGCAGCTCCGTGAGCAGGTGCAGCTCCCACAGAGCTGCGGAGAAGGCTGGCCAGGCTGGCCTGGGGCCGGACCTCACACTGGAGAGCAATCCCAGGTTATAGACTGGGAGCCTGCCAAGACAGGGCCCAGGACTGTTGGGCCCCATTCCTTCACAGCCACCAGGGGGCGCCTGACTTAGCCCAGAGTCCCAAAATCTTTCGGCAAGCGTTTGAACTTCTTTACACTTCTGGTTATATAATGACAGTAGTTTTAACGCACTTGGCTAACAAGAAGCGTGGCTGAGACGTTGGGGGTTATCTGCAGGCCTCGTGTCTGCGAGTGCACACCAAATTAGAAACTTAAGGTGTTAACCAAATGGTTGCTGGGAGATTCAGTTCTTAAAAATATGTAATAGAATGTCATGGTTCAAAATTTAAAAATCAAAGAGGAAGAGGCCAGAGAGTGGTAGAACTCCCCCCTTCTCCTTCCTCTTAGAAGGTCTGTCCCCTCCCTGGCTGCACTAATAGTTTGGGTGTGATCTGTGCGGTCAGTGCTGGGATTGGAGAGTTAGCACGCTGACCCACGTGTGCTGCTAGAGTTTTTTCACCCCGTGATAGGCTACATAACAGACCACAGCTTCACTAACTGGGGGATCATCCCACACCTGTTTGTAACATTGTATTTTTAAAAATTTGTATTTATTTTTATTGTTAAGTCAGATATACAGAGAGGAGGAGAGGCAGAGAGGAAGGTCTTTCCTCTGTTGACTCACTCCCTAAGTGGTCGCAATGGTCAGAGCTGAGCAGATCCGAAGCCAGGATCCAGGAACTTCCTCCAGGTCTCCCACACGGGTGCAGGGTCCCAAGGCTTTGGGCTGTCCTGCTTTCCCAGGCCACAAGCAGGGAGCTGGACGGGAAGCAGGGCTGCTGGGATTAGAACCAGCGCCCGTACGGATTCCAGTGTGCACAAGGGGAGGACTTTAGCCATTAGGCTACCGTGCTATGCCATCCTGTTTTCTAAAGTTCTGCTTAATAGCACTGAATATAGAATTCCATCCTACAGCTATGTAGAGAGTTTCAGGATCTGTTGTTTTATTGGAGAGGCAGAGACACGGAGGTAGAAGGAGGAAGATGTCCCATCCTTGGATTCACTCCCCATGGGTGCCCACAATAGCTGAGACCAGTCCAAAGGCAGGACCCAGGGACTCAGTCTGCGTGTCATCCTTGCGCAGGGGCCATGCTAATCTTCTGTGTGTTGTTCCAATTTTAATATATGTGCAGCTGAAGTGAGCATGAGACTCATCTGGATGTCAGGTGTGGATAGTGGGGACCCAGTGACTGGGGCTGTTGCCTTCTAGAATCTGCAGTAGCGGGAAGCAGGAGTCAGAAGCAGGGTCAGAGTTCAAACCCCCGCGCCAGGCAGGCATGCTAGCTGCTACGCTAAATGCCTACCTCCACGTGGGTATATTGTAGCAGACTTACCTGGACTACGATAGCTGGGGGTTTATTTCCAATGTTATGTTATTATATACATTTTTATTTCACGGAGTAGAGTAAGGAATTCTTTCAGTCAGTCCCAGAAGTGGAACAACCGTGCTAAAAGACAGAAGAAGGCTGCAAGGTGTCTTCATGCGTGGCGAGTCAAGTCCACATTCTGTCCATCAGCATATACAAAAGTATCCACTTCCCCACACGCCCGCCTCTCTAAGCTCTTGGAAATGAAGCTTCTTTGAATTTGTGCTTCATCTACCTGTGGGTGATTTTACAGCTTCTTCTTGGAGGCTCAGCAGGTTAATCCTCCACCTGTCGCCCTGGCATCCCATTTGGGTGCCGGCTTGAATCCAGACTGCTGCACTTCCAATCCAGCTTCCTGCTGGTGATCTGGGAAAGCAGCAGAGGAGGACGCAAGTGAAAGACCCTGAAAGAAGCCCCTGGCGTTGGATGAGCTCAGCCCTGGCCATCGTGGCCATCTGGGGAGTGAAACAGCAGCACAGCAATGAATCCATCCATCAGTCAATAACGGTCTTCCTGACCTTTGATTGAGATCTGTGCAAGTTCACCCTCTTCTCGGGCCGAGCTCATCTTCTTTCACGTCTGCCAGCATGGTGACCATTCCATCAGTGCTGGATGTTACTCACCTGATGGCCGTCTCAGGAAGCCGCTGTCTTAGCTTGATCCTGCCCATGCCTGAGCCCTCTGCGGCCACCCCTTCTCACCGTGAACTTTTGCTTGTCCTTGTGCCTCTCCAGGCGCCAGGAACTCCGAGAGCTGCGGCTGCTGCAGAAGGAAGAGCACAGGAACCAGACGCAGCTGAGCAACAAGCATGAGCTGCAGCTGGAGCAGATGCACAAGCGCTTCGAGCAGGAGATCAACGTGAGTGGGAACGCGGCCGTGGGCACCTCTCGCATGCCCGTGGGCACCTCTCGCATGCCCGTGGGCACCGCTTACATGCCTGTGGGCACCTCTCGCATGCCTGTGGGCACCTCTTGCATGCCCGTGGGCCCAGCGGCCGAGTGGGGCGGCTGACTGTGCCTTCCCAGCGCCCTCATGTGGTCACCTGCGAACACGGAATTCCCAGGCAGGTTGCTCTCTAGAGGGGAAGCGACCCTCAGGCAAGGGTCTAGCTAGGTTGTGGTCCGCTCCCCTTTGGCACATGAGACCCAGTGACGTTAGGTGACTTGCCCCAAGTCACACAAAGCTGGAATGCAACCCCAGCTCTAAGCTCTCCCCATTTTCCCTCCCAGACACAAAGTGGCTGCGCTGACTTCCTCTCCCCTGCTGCCCCTTCCAGGCCAAGAAGAAGTTCTTTGACACGGAGCTGGAGAACCTGGAGAAACAGCAGAAGCAGCAGGTGGAGAAGATGGAGCAGGACCACGCCGTGCGCCGCCGGGAGGAGACCAAGCGCATCCGCCTGGAGCAGGACCGGGACTATGCCAGGTTCCAGGAGCAACTGAAGCTCATGAAGAAGGAGGTGAGTGAGCTGGGCAGAGACTGGGGTGGTTGGGGCCAGGTCGGATGCATAGGACCCCATTGCTGCAAGCTCGGCCTGACTTCACCCACATCGGGTCACCTGGTTAGGGTGTAGGGTGTGTCTGGGTGTGCTCACTTCAGCCACGTCCCGGCAGCCACTTTCTTGGGGTGCCTTCGTGTACAGCTGAGTCCTTGCTGTGAGGCTGTGCTGGCCTCCTCTGCAGCTGCCCTGGGAAGATGCTCTGGGGAGCGGGAAGGAACATTGGGATCTGGAGATGCCATTTCCAGAAGAGGGCCTGGGAGCTGAGTGGGAAAGCAGGGCATGTCTGGGCTCCCCCACTTTCTCCTCCTTCCATGTGGGAGGCCGCTGCTGCAGGCCACACTGCCCCCACAGCGCCAGCCCCCCGTATTTACATGGGTCTCTTGGTTGCATCAAATGGGGACAGCAGGTGTATGTAAATCCGGATGCTCACAAACACGCGGTCTGGCAGTTCTCAGGTAACACCTGCTTCTGGCTCTTCCAGTGTTTGGGTGTCCCTGAGGTGCTGTGTCGTAACTGGGGAAGGATCCCCCGGGAATTTGTAGATAAAGCTCAGTTGTTTTGCTCGGGAGGAATTGTGCGGCCCTCGGGGACTGTTGAAGAAAGGTGACCTCATGCATCTGTCTACAGTGCTTAGTCTGTGTTGGCCGCCCTCGGGGGCTCCAGCATATGCCCCTTCTTGTGCCACCTGCATAAGTGGCTCTGGGTGGGCCAGCGGGTGTTGCCGAGAGGCACTGGCCAGAAACAGGATGGTCTCAGTTTGTGTCTGCCACCTTTATTACTTTATCAGCAGGCAGGTCTGTGTGGGCCTGGTGCAAAGAGGGCAGAGGGAAAGAAGCAGGACTTGTGCCCGCTCTGCCAGCCCCTCTGCCAAGTCCTGCCTCCCCTCCGGGGTCACCTACTTTCAGAGTCCCCAGGTAGTCACTATGGGTATTCGTCCTTGAGTTTTCCTGGCAGCCAGCAGGAGCACGGGCCCATGTCAGCCTGCTGTACCATGTCAGGGACTCTGGGTGTGTCTGCTGTATGCCCCCCACAAAGAGATGGGCTTTCTCTCTCCTGATATTCAGGCCAAACCTCTGCAGATGGAGAGGTCTTCCGTGATGGGTGAGGTGGGCTTTAGGAAGTGGTCTTCAGGCCACAGGCACTTGCCCTTTTCCTAGGATTTGCTGCAGCTCCCACCGTGGTGGGTGAGTGGGGACTGGCGCCAGTGGTTGGTGGGAGAGCCCAGCACCCGTGCACATTCCCTCGCACACATGGGTGAGCAGGGGTCTGTAGGTGCTCCACCCCACAGAGGCCCTTGCAGGAAGCCAGGCAGGGGCTGGGGCACCTGCTGTGTGCCCGCCAGCCCCATGAGCTCCAGAGAGAGAGAGTCCCTGAGCTCAGCTGCTCCCTTATAGCATGGGAAGTAGATTAAAATAGTTCTAGGGGCCAGTGCTGTGATGAAACAGGTCTAGCCACTGTCTGTGGTGTTGACATCCGATATGGGCGCTGGTTCGAATCCTGGCTGCCCCATATTTGATCCGGCTCCCTGCTTGTGGCATGGGAAAGTAATGGGGGATGGTTCCAGTGCTTGGGCCCCTGACAACCATGTAGGAGACCTGGATACAACTCCTGGCTTCAGCCTGGCACTGCCCCAGCCATCGTGGCCATTTGGGGAGTGAACCAGCAGATGGAAGATCTTTTTCTCTTGTCTCTACATCTCTTTCTAACTCTACATTTCAATAAATAAAAATAAATCTTAAAAAAGTTCTAAGTGGCATAAATCTCTTCTTACTCCTATTAGAAAAGTCCGTACCATAAACACAGCTAGCAGACTAACCGAGTGGGAAAAAAGAGAAAAGATCTCCTGTCCACTGGTTCACTCCCCAAATGGCTGCGGCAGGTGGGGCTGGGACAGGCTGAAGCCAGGAGCCAGGAACTCCGTCTGCATCCCTGCATGGGTGTCAGGGAGGTGTCAGTAGTTGGGCCATCCTCTGCTGCTCTCTCAGTCACCTCATTAGGGAGCTGGATCAGAAGTGGAGCAGCTGGGACTTGAACCAATGCTGTGATTGGGCTGCCCCCGCTGCAGACTGTGAATCTCCCCACTATGCCTCAACACCGGCCCTGGTAGGAACCCCTAATTGCCGCTGACTGGGTAGACAAACGTGTCCCCAAGAAGCCTTCTTGTAGACTAATAGCGTGCAAGACTGTGCTTCTTGGAGAAGAATGGATAAGGGGACATGTCAGAAAGGCTTGTGAGAAGCTGGAAGTTTTCTGCAGAGGGCCAAGTTGCCACCACAGCCAGAGGGGTGCCGAGCAGCGGACCGCAGCGCCTGCGCACCCTGGGAGCAGGCCGTGGGCAGGAGGGGGCCGGATGGCTGGTCCTGCAGATGTAGCGTGGGAGATGTGACAGGTGCACTGATGACGCTGACCGCACTGTGTCCGGTGTAGGTGAAGAGCGAGGTGGAGAAGCTGCCCCGGCAGCAGCGGAAGGAGAGCATGAAGCAGAAGATGGAGGAGCATGCGCAGAAGAAGCAGCTGCTTGTGAGTCCTCTGGTCTCAGTCGGGGGCTGGAGGCTGCGAGGCTTGGGCTGGGGGAAGAGGAGCAATGCGGGGTGGGGGGTCCCAGCTTTGACACCCTGACGGGTGAACAGGAATCGCTTCTATCATGGCCGAAGCCCTGTCCCTCAAATGCCTGAATCCTGTGTCCCCTGCATGGCGCCCTGTTTTTACCTCCTCCAGGCAGCCTTCTCTGATTGCCCTCTACACAGCTAGAAGTAACACCTCAGCCAGTTACACTGACCTGCACCCCAAAGCCCCAGCTCCTGTGTGTCTCAGGGTCATTTGGAGGTCACATCTGCTTGACCAGCCTGGGAAGTGTCCCCAGAGGCCATCCCAGTCATTGGCAACTCATTCCCTTCTCCACCCCCTTGGATCATTGTGAATTAAATGTCTGCCTCCCCACTCCAGCTTCCTGGTCATCCGGCTCTGGGAGACGGCAGCGATGGCTGAAGCGATTGGGTTGCTGTCTGTCTTGTGGAAGACCTGATTGGGTCTCTGACCATAACCCAGCACCAGCTCTTCTGGGCATTTGGGGAACTCGTGTGTGTGTGTGTGTGTGTGTGTGTGCGCACGCACACACACACGTGTCTCCTTTCCCTCTCTCCATCACCTATCAAGTTAAAAGTTTTTTTTTTTTAAAAGATTTATTTTAGTTTTATATGAAGGCCAGATTTACAGACAGAAGGACATTTAGAGAAAACTCCTCCATCTGCTGGCTCACTCCCCAAGCAGTCACAACAGCCAGAGCTGAGCCGATGTGAAGCCAGGGCCCGGAGCCTCTTCCAGGTCTCCCACATGGATGTAGGGTCCCAAGACTTTGTACCGTCCTCGACTGCTTTCCTAGGTCACAAGCAGGGAGCCGGATGGGAAGTGGAGCTGCCAGGTCACGAATTGATGCCCATGTGGAACCCCAGCACTGCAGGTGGAGCCTACTACGCCACAGTGCTGGCTCCAAAATAATGGCTATTCATTATAAAAATAATAATGTTGAGATGTCCTCGGGCCCGGCGGCGTGGCCTAGTGGCTAAAGTCCTTGTCTTGAATGCACCAGGATCCCATATGGGTGCCAGTTCTAATCGCGGCAGCTCCACTTCCCGTCCAGCTCCCTGCTTGTGGCCTGGGAAAGCAGTCGAGGATGGCCCAGTGCTTTGGGATCCTGCACCCACGTGGGAGACCTGGAGGAAGTTTCTGGCTCCTGGCTTCAGATCGGGTCAGCACCGGCTGTTGTGGTCACTTGGGGAGTGAATCATCAGACGGAAGACCTTCCTCTCTGTTTCTCCTCCTCTCTATATATCTGACTTTGTAAAAGAGAGAGAGATGTCCTCAAGGCAACTCTTTCCTCCCCTGTCCTCTGCAGGACCGGGACTTTGTCGCCAAGCAGAAGGGGGACCTGGAGTTGGCCATGAAGAAGCTCACTGCGGACAACAGACGGGAGATCTGCGACAAGGAACGCGAGTGTCTCAACAAGAAGCAGGAGCTCCTTCGAGGTGGGCGAGCCCGTCTGGGCCCGGAGGCACACTGCGGACACCCCCAGTCCTGGGGAACGGGTGGGCTGGGAGCAGGTGCCTGGCCTTCTCCATCCTGACGGTGACGTCATCCTCTGTGGTCACGCTGAAGCCAGGAGCAAGGCAAGGCCACCAGCTGTCACCGGCACTATGGGACCTGCTTCCGGAAGTCAAGGGGATGCAGACAGGAAGCCTGGAAGAGCTGGCTGGCAGGGTGGTGGCAGAAACCAGATGCAGAGGAGCTCTAGTTGTTCTAAACGCTGAGTGTCTGCCAGTGCCACAGACCCTGCACCTCCGCTGCAGGATTAGTCCCCCTGTTGCTGCATTTCCACAGGCAGCTGAGGCAGGGAGGGGTCTTTGGCCCACATGTCTAATTGGGCTGCTCTAACAGCGTGTCCTTGGGTCCCGGGTGGCGTATACACAGCAGACATTGATTCTCACGTGTCTGGAGGTTGGAAGTTCACAGCCAAGGTTGTAGCAGGTGTGTGGCCCTGGTGAGGACCTGCCTTCTACTTCATACACACAACAGAGATGGCACCTTTAGGTAGCATCCCCAGGCCTCCTTCCTGGGGCGCTAAGCCCAAGCGTGAAGGCCCGCCCCTTCCAGAGGCCCCGCTGCCTCGTGGCATTATTGTAGCCGCTAGAATCCCAGTATCTGAATGTGGGGGAGGTAGAGACCCAAACAGTCAGACCCAAACCCACAGGCTGTGCAATGCCTCAAGGCCGATGGAAGACCAAGCTGTGGTCACAGGTGGCAAGGACGCCTGCCTGGCCCAAGTGTTTGGGCCGGTGTGGGGTCCATGGATGGAGTTCTGGGCTCCGGGCGCTGGCCTGACCCAGCCTTGACCTTTGGCAGCCCTTTGGGAAGTAAACCAGCAGAAGGCAGCGTTCTCTGTTTCATCCTCCTCTCACTCTCTGTCATTCTGCTTTTCAAGACCGAGCAGGTTTCTGTTCCAACCCAAGGTGCAGCGGAGCTCAGGCCTTCGTCTCTGGTTCCTCTGCTTTCTAACCCTGGAGCTCTGTCCTTGCGCAGGGGGTGGGAGGTGGTGGCCAGTGCTGAGCAGGTGGTTGACCAGGTGCGGTGAGGGCATGGGGGGAGAGAGGAGCCTGGCTGCGGGCACGGAGCCCAGGGGGCTCCACTAGGCTGCACACAGCTCACCTGTGGCTGTGTCCTCTGCAGAGCGTGAGGCAGCCCTGTGGGAGATGGAGGAGCACCAGTTGCAGGAACGGCACCAGCTGGTGAAGCAGCAGCTGAAGGACCAGTACTTCCTGCAGCGGCACGAGCTACTGCGCAAGCACGAGAAGGTGAGCCCGGGAGGGCTGCAGGGCTGCGCTGGGTGCCAGTGGTGCCTCCCCGCCCCCGGAGGAAGGACCCCCGGAGGGACCGCGAAGGGGGGAGGCGGAGCCGGAAAGCCGGGCCAGCAGTGGGGTCCCAGGACACCCGCCGGTGCCTCTCTTTGTCTTGCTTTCTTGGCTGTCCATTCCTGGTCCATGCCATTTTCTCGTTATTTCTGTCCCTGCCATGCATGCAATTCCTCATAGACCTTGCAGGCTCTCCCCCTGCTCAGAACCTTCCTCCAGACTCAGCCAGGGCCCCTGCAGTGTGCCCAGGGCGCCCTCTGCGTCAAACTCCCACGAGGGGACGGTGACAGTTAAGCTGAGGCCAACAGAAGCAGCTGGGTGAGGAGTTTCTTAGGGGAGAAGCAGAAGGCTTGGGCGCTCACCCATCCGGAGAGGCTTCTTGGAAGAGGTGATGCCCAAGCTGAGTTTTGAAATGTACTAGGTGTTGGAGGAAGAAAAAATGTCAAATGTATGAAGTTTATGTGAAATATAAATCTGCATCCCCTGTCTGTGATGACGGGCCAGCCCTGTTACTGTACAGCTGGCTTAGAGCCTGTGATACTGGCATCTTTTGTGGGTGCACATTCAAGGCCCGGTTCATCCACTTCTAATCCAGCTCCCTACTGCACTTGATCCTGGCCAAAAGGCCAAGATGCAAGTCCAGCTCTCTACTGAGCTGTGTGGCAAAGCAGCTGAGGACAGCCCAAGTGTTTGAGCTCCTGCACCCACTGAGAGAACTGGGTAAAGTTCCTGGCTTTAGCCTAGGCAAGCCCCCATTGTTGTGGTCATTTGGGGAGCTAGCCGGTGGGTAGAAGATCTCTCTCTCTCTCTCTTTGTCTTTGCACAGCTCCCACCCCACCTTTCTTTTTTTTTTTTTAAGTTTTATTTATTTGCTTTAATTGTTATTGACATTGTATTATGTGATACAGTTTTATAGGCACTGGGATTCCCCTCACCCCTCCACCTTTCAAATAAATAAATCATTTTTTTTATAAAGAAAAGAGCTTTGGCACCAAAATAAGCCTGTCTTTCCATTTCCATTTTCCATGTATGTTTTTGAAGTTGCTGTGCATATTAAAGTGTCGGGTATCTCGGGTGCTTACTTCATGGGATAGCATCAACACTGCATGTCCCAGGAAAAGACCCAAATTCAAAACTGGCTTTTGCACTATTAATAGTCAAAAAATGATGCCAAGCAGACCATCATAGGTAGAGGACTGTCCCTTGAAAAGAAGGAGCAGAGATAACTTGGCTGTGCGGAGCACCCCGGGCTGCCGAGTCCAGCCTGGTGGCCTTTGCCCTCCGAGCATGCCAGGTGCCTGGAGCCCAGCTGAGCTCGCCTCACCTCTGTGTGTCTCCTCCCCGGCAGGAGCGGGAGCAGATGCAGCGCTACAACCAGCGCATGGTGGAGCAGCTCAAGGTGCGGCAGCAGCAAGAGAAGGCGCGGCTGCCCAAGATCCAGCGGAGCGAGGGCAAGACGCGCATGGCCATGTACAAGAAGAGCCTGCACATCAATGGCGGGGGCAGTGCGGCTGAGCAGCGCGAGAAGATTAAACAGGTGGGCTGGGCTGGCAGGGCTCTGGGCGTGGGGTGGGGTGGGGTGGGGTGGGCCGGGCTGTCGGGGCTCCGGGCGTGGGGTGGGGTGGGGTGGGGTGGGCCGGGCTGTCGGGGCTCTGGGTGTTGGGTGGGAGTGGGCTGATGGGGCTCTGGACGTGGGGTGGGCCGGGCTGTCGGGGCTCTGGGCTGTGGGGTACTCCGGGCTGTCGGGGCTCTGGGTGTGGGGTGGGAGTGGACTGATGGGGCTCTGGACGTGGGGTGGGTGTGCGATGGCAGTGCTGTGGGCACTGGGTTAGAGTGTGACCTCAGCCTGCTGCTATTGGAGGAATGACGTAGCACAGGGTTCTGGAAGAGCACCTGCAAGTCCCGGGTCAGGGCTGGGAGCCTCACCGGGTACGTGATGAATCTGTCCCCACGGAGCAAGGACTTTGGCTTTGTGCCGTCTTTTTCACGTGCTATTCCCTTCCATGGCTGTTGAGGCGGACACCTACTTCTCTGCTAATTAACCGCTCCTGCCCACTGGCATGCACCCACATGGCTGGGGCATGGAGCCAGTGGCCTGGGTGCCTGTGATTGCTGCGTGGTCCACACATGTTTTCCTGCACATCACTGCGGTGTGGTATCCCTGCCCAGAGGGCAAGAACTGGATCTTAAATGGTGGAGGTTACTGTGTGAGGGGAACAGGAAGGGGCTGAGCATAGACCAGACCCTTTGGCGACCCTGCCGAGCAGGGCTGCAAGAGACCAGCCAGGCTCCTGGCTCCCCAAAGCACCCACTCTCTCTCTCTCTCTGTTTCTCTCGGTGGGGCAGTTCTCCCAGCAGGAGGAGAAGAGGCAGAAATCCGAGAGGCTGCAGCAGCAGCAGAAGCACGAGAACCAGATGCGGGACATGATGGCACAGTGTGACAGCAACATGAGTGAGCTGCAGCAGCTGCAGGTTAGCAGCCGCCCTGCCCCGCCCCACCCCTGTGTGGCCTTAGCTTGCCCAAGCAGATGGTGCTTGAGGGGCAGTGGCTCCACTAGCAGGGACGTGCCCAGGTCCACTGGGCAAGTGATGTTGGGCAGAGCACATCACCCGGCCAAGCTCTGCTCTACACAGGCCTGGGATGGATTGGGGGTAGGGTGGACTCCCATTGCAAGATTCAAGCGAGGATTTGTGCAAGCGGTGATGGCTCTGCAAAGGCCCTTGCCCGGGCCAGGCAGGTGGGACAAGCTGCTGGTTCTTCCAGTTCTTGCTGTGTCCTGAGGGTTATGTGTCACCTCTTGTCTGTTAAGACTTGGGCCCACACAGGAGAGGCCTGTCCCACGAGCTGGTACTTGGAGCCCCCTTGTGGTGGAACGAGGCAGTGTCGGCCCAGGGGCGAGGGCTGACCAACCTGCATGACCTCAGGACTGACCTCAGCACGGCTCAGGCTGCTGGATCTGTCTGGCCATTTCTGGAGAGTCAGAGAGGAGCAGAGAAAACAGTGCAGTGGTTTTTGTCTGCCACTGTGTCAATTTTACTGATTTTTAAAAGATTTATTTATTTGGGGCCCAATGCAGTGGTTCAATGACAATCTTCACCTTGTATCCACCAGGATCCCATTAGGGTGCCAGTTCTTGTCCCACTTGCTCCACTTGCCATCCAACTCCCTGCTTGTGGCCTGGGAAAGCAGTAGAGGACACGATCGAAAGCCTTGGGATTCTGCATCTGTGTGGGAGACCCAGAAGAAGCTCCTGGCTCCTGGCTTCGGATCAGCTCCGCTCTGGCCACTGCAGCCACTTGGGGAGTGAACCAGCAGTTGGAAGATTTTTCTTTGTCTCTCCTCCTCTCTGTAAATCAGCCTTTCAAATAAAAATAAATAAATCTTAAAAAAAAAAAAAGATCGCAAGGCAGGGAGATGGAGAGAGATGAAGATCTTCTGTCCACTGGTTCATTCTTCAGGTGCCACCACAGCTAGGGCTGGGCCAGGCTGAAGCCAGGAGCCCAGAATTCCATCAGGGTCTCCCGTGAAGGTGCAGGGACCAAGCACTTGGGCTTTGCTGTCTTCCCAGGCTCATTCACAGGGAGCTAGATTTAAAAAAAAAAAAGGAGCATCCAGGATTCTTAACTTGTGCTCCAACATGGAATGGCAGCATTACAAGCAGTGGCTTTGTTTGCTGTTGCCTTACAATACAATGGTTTTATTTGTCTGTTTTAAGATTTATTTTTCTTGGAAAGGCAGATTTATAGAGAGAAGGAGAGATGGAAAGATCTTCCATTCACTGGTTCACTTCCCAAATGCCACAGTGGGAAGTGGAGCAGCCGGGACATGAACCAGCGCCCATGTGGGATCCCGGCGCTTGCAAAAAAGATTAGTCAGAGGAGCCATTGCACTGGGCCCCAACACGGAGTTTTTTTATGTGAACATCTGAAACAGACTGAGTGGTCAGAAAACAATGTTTGAATAAATTTGATAGGCTGCTTTACAGAGATGGGATGTTTACCAAGGAGCAGGTGTCCTTGGGGCTGCGTCCTGGGGTGGGTCTCAGCTCACCGCCTCTGCCATCCTGTTGTCTCACCTGTTCTGCCTGGACTTTGTTCCAGAATGAAAAGTGCCACCTCTTGGTAGAGCATGAGACCCAGAAGCTGAAGGCATTGGATGAGAGCCACAACCAGAACCTGAAGGAGTGGCGAGACCGACTCCGGCCACGCAAAAAGGTACGTGCGCCTGGGCTGGCAGGCTCCGGGCCTCGCGGTGCAGGACGGGGGCTCTGGAGCCCCGGGGTCTGTTCTGGCAACTGTTGGCTCTGCAGCCTTCGTCAAATGGAACCCAGCCTGAGAAGGAAAGATGTTTCCTCCAAAAAGTATCTACAGGGACCCCTGCGTCACCGCAGGCTGCAGCTGGGTGCTGGGTAGAGGCAACAGCGTAAGAACCTCAGGCACCTGGGTCGGGCCACTGTGTAACTAACACGTCTGCCATTCTCACTATTGAATCTCCCCCCCACCCCTTTAGCTTCTGACTGCTCCCCCAACCCCACCTAGATTGTCCGAACTCCATCCCTTGGCCCGCAGCAAGAGGAGGAAGTGGTGGGAGAAGGGATTCTGGGAGAAGGGAGAAAGTGACCCAAGTACTGAGGGTTGGGAGGGAACTTTCTGGGGGCGGGGGGGAATGCTGGCGCCTGGGGATCTGACCGGTGCCTTCCGCCTTGTCTGTCTGCAGGCTCTGGAGGAGGATCTGAACCAGAAGAAGCGAGAGCAGGAGATGTTCTTCAAGCTGAATGAGGAGGCCGAGTGCCCGAACCCCACCACGCCCAGCAAGAACACCAAGTTCTTCCCCTCCAGCTCTGCGGAGGCTTCTTAACTACACCCTTCATTGCACCAGGCTGTTGGGGGCACCTTGGGGGTGCCCTCACCCCGCTCTGTGAACAAGGAACTCAGGTCTGCCTTTCCTCTTGCTTCCGTGCCAGCTCAAGGCCAGCCCCACGCCCGCTGCGGAGCGCCCGGGCACCTGACTTCTGCACCCAGGCCCTGGTGTGCGTTCTGCCTGAGCCTGGATCCCTGCGGGCTGCAGCAGGTGGAGTCGAGGTCTGGATGCTCTGGGTGCTGGAGAGCCGCCTGCAGGCTGCCTCTGGACACTGCAGCGCTGCCCACGATGCCACCGCAGTGTGAGTCTTGCTGGCTTTCCAGCCATTCCAAGCTGACTCAGGCCAGAAGCAAGGCCCCTAACCTCAGGGGGTGTTCCTCACTCCTCCGACTCCCCCATTTTGCCTTCTGCTTCCTGCAGTGTGTGTCTACATGCAGGGGAGAGGCCGGAGGAAGGAGGCCTGATCATGGGTTGTGCTGTTCATGGGTGCTTTGTGCCATCATGTGCCTGCCCTCCCTGTACCTGTGTGCCCACCCTGTGTGCATGCGTGGCCCGGCCTCTGGTGCTTGCCTGCGCCCGGGGCGCTGGGTGTGCGGAGTGGAGCAGCTGGTGGGGAACATGCTGGCTGTTGGCACACGAGGCCCTGAGAAGGCACAGGCTGTCCTGCCAGTCACATAGAGATGGCTTCCTCAGCACACAGAATCTGCCCACCGTGGGCTGCCCATGCCTGCTGCTTTTCCAGCCTGCCTGCGTGTAATGTGGGAAGGCTGGATTCTTCCGCCCTGGGAACCCCATCTTGCATTGCAGACTGAGCCTAGCAGTCCCCTGGAAAGTCTTTTCAGGATCAGAGAGCACCAGTGGGTGACTCCTGCCCCCAGGGACATGGCAGACATGGAGGGTCTGTGCTCAGCCCGACTCCTGGGCTTTCGATGTCTCGGTAGCCTGACCACAGAGGCTGTGGAGCATGGGAGCCCTGAGAGCCGGTGCTGCCAGCATGCCGTGCATGCACAAAGCCACCTTGTTTAGCCTTCTTGTCCCACTAAAGCCCATCTGGGCGGCCCCTGTGGGAGCACGCATGCTTTAAACGCCCAGGAAATGGTAACTGGGAGAAGTCCTCAACACGGGCGTGTTCCGTGTGGGTGCTGTTTGCCCGGCGCAGGGTGCCCAAGGTGCCCTGGAAGGTCATTGTCTCCCTCCTGTCTTTTTAAAGAGCCGGCTCCTTGCTGCTGCTCAGAGCAGTTAACTGGATGCCAGGGAAGGGAAGGGCTGTGCTTCCACAGGACAGGGGACCCCGACAGGCCTTACGGGTGCCAGAGCCACGCTCCCACGCACAATAATCATCTCCTTTCTGTTGCTTGCGTGCCCAGCAGAAGCTGGAAAGCCTGAAGCAGCCGCAGTCAGGGTGGGCACACCCTGTGCCCACTTGTGCCAGCCTGCGCTGATAGAGAATCAGGTGGGGCGGGCTGCAGGTGGTGGGCACTTTGTTTACAATACTTCCATCGGCAGCCGGGCCGTGAGAGGCCAGTTCGCCGGTTCAGGTATGGAAGGCTCTGAACAGTCCAGGGTTTGGCCTGTCGCTTGCACCGCCCGGAGCCTGTTCCCTTGCCCCAGCGTCTTTGCTGGAGCTGGGAGTCCAGCCAGGTTGGAGCCCCACCTGCCGAGCCACCATGCAATGTGCCTGCTGCTGAGAAGGCCCGTGCAGTGGTCCTGTGCTCAACATATTCTGTGTGAGGTACAGACAGAACTGCTGGTCCTTCCCAGTCTTTTTGTTGTTGTTGTTGTTCCTAGCAGAGTAAATAAAACTAACTTATATTTTCCCCCCGATGAAGGATAGAAGTTATTTTTATGTAGTTTCCAGACTTTGTATACGGAACTTTTGTAAGATGCGCTCCGCAAAGTGGACTGCAAAGATGTAAATAGGCTTCTAATAAAATAACAAAGTGGTTTGCATATTTGGGGCTGTCCTTTTGGGCGCGGGGGTGAGGAGGAGGCCAGCATGTTGGTCCTCCTTTGCCTGGCCGGAAAGGGTTTGTCGTCTGCAGCACAGGTGACCCCCACTCCCCCCACCCCCAGCAGCTCCCAGGTCATGGCAGCGCCTTAGGCTTTGAGCGTGTTTCTGAAAGGAGTGATGCCTGGCCAGCTGTGTGTGTCTGTATGAATGGACTCCCTCCAGACATTTCGCTTCACTCTCTTCTCACCCCGAGATACTAGGTTGGGAACATGTTGAATCCTTTGGCTGTCGTTTGGGTACTAGTCTGGAAGTTGGCTGACACCCAAAGGTCCATCTGCAAAAAGTCTTAGGGTACTGGTACTGGCAGGTGGCAGCTTCATCCACTTACGGTATCTGGTGATGCTGTTGGATTAGGTAGAAGGAAGCACGGTGGGTTTATAAGGACAGACACAGATGGACAGCGCACCCCCTGTCTGTTGCCATGGGACCCCTCCTGGAAACTGCCAGCAAGGACATCAGGCGGGGCCTCCCAGGCTCGAACTGAAGAAGGCATCACACTTATTTCAGACATGAAGAAATGGATCTGGGATGAGGGGAAGGACCAGGCTAACCCGCACACCGTGCTGCTGGTGCCTTCAGAACTCACACAAGGGCCTACCGTCACATGGATCCCTAGCCACCAGCTGTTTGCCGCCTTTTAAGATTTATTTATTTGTTTGAAAGATTTCTAGGTGAAGATGTCCAGCCACTGGTTCTTCCCAGATGGCTGCAATGCCCAGGGCTGGGCCAGGAGTTAGGAATCCCGTATGGATTTGTTCACGTGAGTGGCCAGGCCCAAGCACTTGTATCACCATCTGCTGTTTTCCCAGCTGTGCTAGCAGGAAACTGGATTGGGAGTGGAGCAGCCAGGACTCTGAACTGGTATTCCTATGGAATGTCGGCATTACAAGCAGTGGTGTAACGTGCTGAGCCACATCTGGCTGTACCTTGTTTAAAGGGACTTGCTGGCATCCTCCGTACCAATTTAGGAACCCTTATCCTGGGGTTCATGGGTAATAGGGAATTTTCGTACTTTAAAAATTTGACTGCAAGGTTTTTAAAAATATTTATTTATTTGTATTGGAAAGTCAGATATACAGAGAGAGGGAGAGACAGAGAAGAAAATCTTCTGTCTGATGGTTCATTCCCCAAGTGGCCACAACGGCCGGAACTGAGCCAATCCTAAGCCAGGAGCCAGCAGCTTCTTGCGGGTCTCCCACAGAGGTGCTGAGTCCCAAGGCTTTGGGCCGTCCTCGACTGCTTTCCCAGGCCACAGGCAGGGAGCTGGATGGGGAGCAGGACTGCTGGGATTAGAATCGGTGCTCATATGGGATCCCAGTGCACTTAAGGCGAGGACTTTAGCTGCTAGGCTACCATGCCAGGCCCTGATTGTGACTTACTGGCCTCCGGCTGGACTGAAACGCTTTCACGGTGGACGTAGGTAACAGCACAGTGCTGTCAGCAAAACCTGACTTTCCCTGGTAGGGAGGACACAGCACATCGCAGCTGCCGATACATCAACTACACGGCTTGTCACTTACAGTGAAACTTGTTACACTTCAGAAAGTTCATGCAATTAAGAGGCATGTTTATTTTGGCACTGAAACCAATTTCAAAATTTCATATGAGACATCTTCAAATCATTCTTGGAAAAAAAATGTGATTTAGCAAAACAAAATACAAGACCTCAAACTTTTTTTTTTTTTTGGCACTAAAATTTGTGTCTTAATTCTGCATTATGTGAGCTTTTTGGAATTCTTATGCATGTTATAAACAAACTATGTATACAAACACACATACATACATGTTTTGGGGGCAAGGGTGGTAGTGCAGTAGGTTAACCCACCCGCCGAGGCGCCAGTATCCCACATCAGCGTGCCTGGTTCAAGCCCTCGTTGCCACATGTTCTGATTCAGTGTTGTACTAACGCATCTGGGAGGTAGCAGGTGCTGACCCGAGGACTTGGGCCCTTCCCACTCAGTGTGAGATCCAGACGGAGTCCCTGCCTGCTGGCTCCTGCCTAACCCGGCCTCAGCTTTTGGAGTCATTTGGGGAATAATCCAGCAGATGGAAAGATCTCTTTTAAAGGCAGAATTATAGAGAAGAGAGATCCCTTCATATACTGGTTCACTCTCCAAACGGCAGAAATAGTCACATCTGAGCCGATCCGAAGCCAGGAGCCAGGAGCCAGGAGCTTACCCCCAGTCCTCAACATGGGTGCAGGGACCCAAGCACCTGAGCCATTCTATGCTGCTTTCCCAGACCACAAGCACGGAGATGGACTGAAGTGGAACTGCCAGGGCACAAACCTGTGCCCACAGTGATGCCAGTGCTGCAGGTGTTAGCTCAGCCCACTATGCCACAGTGCCAGCCCAAAAAGACCTCTTTCTCTGTCAAATAAAAATATATAAATATAGATTTGAAATATTTTTAAGTCTTTTATTTCCTCCTGCTTAGTTTAATTTCTGTGTGATCTGTAAGCTTTATATCATGCATTTGGAAATATTCTGAGGAGGGCTTCCTATGTTTTGTGGAATACCTGAGGTGTCGGTGTTATAAACACAGTTAAGAATCTCTGCTGTTGGGCCCGGCGCAGTAGCCTGGCAGCTAAAGTCCTCACGTTGCATGCACCAGGATCCCATATGGGCACCAATTCATATCCCAGCTACTCCACTTCCCATTCAGCTCCCTGCTTGTGGCCTGGGAAAGCAGTCAAGGACGACCCAAATCCTTGAGATCCTGTACCCACATGGGAGACCTGGAAGAGGCTCTTGGCTACTGACTTTGGGTCAGCTAAGCTCTGGCCATTGTGACCACTTGGGGAGTGAACCAGTGGATGGAAATCTCTTTCCCTCTGCCTTTCCTCCTCTCTGTATATGTGACTTTCCAATAAAAATAAATACATATTTTAAAAAAAAAAAATCCCTGTTCTGTCTTCACCCCTGAGTGGGCCTAGACACATTCTGGCCAGCAGGGGGCAGGCCTGGTCACAGTGCCAGCGCAGACTGCAGGTTCCCGGCTAGCAAGGCGGCTCTGAGTGAGTGCTGGCGACAACACCTCAGGACCGGTGGGCACTTAGGACATGGGGTCACTCCACTTGGGACACCTCGTAAACGCTAAGCACTAGAGATGTTGAAGTGACTATGACTTCTGACAAGGGCACCATCTTTAAAATCCTTGTCCTAAAAGGGGGCAACGTAAAAATAGCTGACACAGGAGGATCAAGCATGGCCATAGGAGGCGGTGGTGAGCCCCGGGGGAACGGATGTCCACACTGGAAGATGGCAATTCAGTTTAGCCATTCTGAGTCCTGATGCTGGAGACAGGGATGAGGCTGGACAAGCATGACTGACTCAGAACAGGTGCAATCCTGGCCTGGGAGATCAGGCAAGAAGGGCAGATGATACGCGATGGGTGTGTTGCCCACAAAGCTTTGATGTTTAGAAAAGAGAGGGAAAACTCATGCAGGTTTTGCCGGGGCAGAACCTGAAGACATTCTAGACATCATAATAGGTTATTAAACGGCTTGCAACGTGGGCATCCCATAGGAGTGCCAGTTAGAGCCAGAACTGCTCTGCTTCCAATTAAAACTTTGTGCCCGTGTGTCTGGGAAGGCACTGGGAGGTGACCCTGATGCCTGGGCCTCTGCCGCCATGTGGGAGAGCCAGTTGGGGTTCTGGACCACTGGCTTCAACTTGGTCCAGACTTAGCAATGGTGGCCATGTGACCAAATGGAAGAGTTCTCCTTATTTCTCTCCCCGTTCTCTGTGTTTTAGATAAATGCATCAGAGAAAAGAACGCTGTACAATTGCTTCCTTCCCAGAGCCTAGCAGGCAGGAATGCTAGTTACCTGGGCTCAGCTCCACAGACATAAGGTGATGACACATAGTGTGGCGGGGGTCCGATGGCCACAGACAGGTGCCCATTCACCCACAGTGGTACCACAGGGGTTTCTGAAATCTGATTAGCACATATGTCTTTAGTTAGAGTCCAGAGGACCTCCTAGATGAGTGATGGCTGACAAGCTCACTCAGGCCTGACCTGGAGCGAGGATAAGTGAAGAGTTGGACACAGCCAGTAAACACATCTATTTGAGGGCACCTGAGGTCCGCAGGCTGGCAAAGGATGGGGAGGGGAGAGGGAAGGGAGACCCTAGTGCCTATTAAAGTGTCATAAAACAATAATAATAATAATAAAAAAAATGACCAGGCCAGGGTTCAAGGAAAGGGGGAGACTCAGAGAGCGAGCTGGATAGTACAGGGCACGTGCTGATCCAGGGGTATAACAGAAATGCTTGGTTGAGCTTTGGACAGGCTCCCCAGGGCCAGGAGCATAGGGGTTGGAGCCCAGGGTCTTGCAAGGGCGGCGGGGAGAGGGGTGTGCGTGGGACGCGGAAGGGGACTACAGGTGTTCACATCACCAGAAGCGCTAAAACAGGCCCGGATGGCCTGGATTGCCAGTGTCCCAGGCAGAAGAAAAGGTGAATCCTCTCTGGAAAAGAACTGCCTCTGAGCCTTCCATTTTTGCAAACAATTTACAACTAAAATGTCCAACACACAATTATAAATCACTAGGCTCTTGGGATGTCCCAGGTCAGGTCGGACTCCATGCTCGGAGCCCTGATTCCAGCCACTGTGAACACACGGTAAGTTGTCCCCAGGCATGCCCGAGCTCCAGAGGCTGCTCCCTTCCTGGTTAGTATACTGAGAAGGGAAGTCTGGAGAACAGGGCGGGCCCGGGCCCACCCACCGCCAACATTGTGCATTGAGAGGGATTAGGAGGGAGCGACCTTGGGGTCTGGGGGTCAGAAATTCCAGCAACCTGTTGGTGAGTTGTCCCTGGGTCTGCCTGAGCTCCAGAGGCTACTCCCTTCTTGCTGGTTGTCCAGCAGTGAGCTCTGAGGTTTTAGTTCTTTAAATTGATGCCTTGGAAGCTCCATGTTGAGCCCATTGTGCTTCTG